GTACCGTCAATGTGGCCCTTTGAGGGTGGCCAATATGCTGAAGTGGCCCTCGGTGAAATTGAGTTTGACACCCCTGCTCTAGATGTTCTAGGACAATTTTTTCAACTCAACCAGAGTTTGGGACCTAAAATTCTACATTTTAGTATATAAAGAACTAAAGTGGTGCTGCAGTGATTATGTGATTTTAGCCAGATGTGCAATTCACCGCGGGAGAACAATAAATTGCTCAAAACATCTCTGAAGAAAAAAAAAGTCCCTGCAAAGAAAAGCGGGTGCAGCAGATTCTCCTTTTAATTAGAAAAAATGATGTGTCCAGTAGATGGAGCTATAAACTTTATGACACATCCTCCAGGCAGCTTAGGAAACCAGGGAGCTACATAAAAGAAGACATCCTCGGAGAGGAACTTAGGAAAATATTTTCACACGGGATAAATTAGGTTCTTAGAGAAATAACTGAAAATAAATATTTAAATTTAAGAAACAACTAATGATTATAATGCAAACGAGCTGGCATCACACCCTCTGTTAGCCTTCATAGCGAGTTGAGCAACATTTTTCTCACAGGGAGGTGCTCCTTTGTGCTCCAACTGTTTATACAAATGCATATTGTGTTCGGACGACTGACTAACAGAAGGTGAGTCGCAGCTCACTGATGAATCTGCTCACAGTGTGCAAGTGGTTTAATGTTGTGTCTTTACGTCTTAAAACGTTACGTGTGAGTGATGGATCGCTACAGCTCCTCCAGAGTTACCGCAAGACTCTTGTCTTCTTCTCTGATTAATGATGTCCTCATCAGACATGTCTGTTTGAGTGGATGGATATATTTTTTGATAGTTTTGCAGTTGTGATGCCTTTTCGGAGCCGTAACCACAGCGGGCTAAAAAGAAGCACTGAACTCAACGCAGTTTTTCATGGTGAACCAGTAACATTACAATCCAAGTAATAGAAAGAAACCAAAACAAATAATTTCAGAAATGAAGTTATGTGTAATAACAGGGAAAAAGTATTGAACCCTCACAAAAAAAAAAAAAAATTGGAGTAGGCCAAGACACCAGTTGAGATCTATCGGTGATTAGAAAACTATCCATCTGGTTCGGTCCAAACGGATAGATGGATGGGTACTTTGACTAGGAGCTGCAGCTTTGTGCTCAGGCATCTGGAATGTTTCGAGATCAGTCCACGACCTCAGGTTTCACCGTATCTATTACGGCTCATTCTAAAATAAACTGGAGCAGAGGTATGAAGGTCGATGAGTCTGAAGTTCCTGTTGTAGCGTAGAGACGACGAAGGTGGGTTCCAGGATTGGATGATAAAGCTTTGAATTCAATACAGGCTTCTTGTCTTTGTATACACACACACACACTCCACACTAAGATCATCAAATGCTAATGTCTGACAAAGTGAATACAAAAAGCAGTTTTCAAATTACAGTTTCATGTATGACGGGATATAAGCTGCCCAAACCAACCTGGCCTTGTGTGAGAAGGTGATTACTCCCTGCAGACTGGGTGTCTCAACCTTGGCAGCACTGACTGAACCCCAATGATAACCTGCAATGAGCCTTTCACATCTCTGCAGAGAAACGTTGACCGACCAAGCCTCCATTTTGCTCAAGACGGTGGTAAATATTCTGTCACCCCGAGGTAACAAAGCCCGGAGTTTTCTGGGAAATGTGAGATGGGTCTTTGGCTGTTTTTATTTTATTTTATTTTATTTTATTTTTTTCAGCACATGTTTTGGCCTCAGAACATTGCCATAGATGCCGTCTCTGCCCAGCCTGTCTTTCTCCTTCCCCACTGTTTCATGTTGTCTCCTTTTGTAGGTAGCGGTTCACACTGTGGTCCACTGGAACCCTGAAGCTTTAGATATGACTTTGTAAAACTTTCCAAACTGACGGATTTCAGAGACTTCGTTTCTCGTCTTGGATTTCTTTTTTTTAAAGCTGCAGTATGTTTTTTTTTTTTAACAAAAAAAATGTTTCTTTTTTACACTGTTTTTAAAACTGTCACCATGTTGTGACAATATGGTATGAGACAGATAATCTGTAAAAAGATAAATCTCCTCCAGCTTCTCCCCGAGCTACTATTGCTAGCTGAAGAAACACACCGCTCCTGACCAAAAGCAACCAATCAGAGCCAGGAGGAGGAGCTGTCAATCAACCTCATGTACTTGCTGCTAAATGTGCTAATGGTGGTGAAAGAACTCATTGTTTCTGGAAAACTGTTTATGCCCCATCATCAGTGGCCATGCTAACTAGCTTTAGCACGCTTTGCTAGATGACAGTTTCAACAAATATGTAAAAAATATATTTTTTTAAATAAAAGTTACATATATTACATTTCTACGTCGGTGTATTATATTTCCACATGGGATGAGGTTGGTTTGGAAAGCTTGTTTCTAAATGTTACCATCTGATGGCCAGTATATTTCTTGAACTTATCTTCGACTTATATTAAAAATTTGTACGATGAGCTGAAGAAACACAAAAGGAGAGGGAGGAAAAAATTTGGAAGCGGGCAAAGACAATATTAAAGGTGGTACATTTCTTCAACATCACACCCTGTCTGAATGTGTCACCCGGCCGACCTGCAGCCCTGAAACTAATTACAGTTGGTGTGTCTTATCCCAAACAACATATGGCCTCCTTTTGGTGTCTGCGGCAACAAGTGTGGGTCAAACGATTAGAGCAGGCCGCTCAACCTGTAACTGCTCTGGTCTCGGAGCAGAGAGGAAGCTGGCACAGAAACAACAGACTGGGGGCGGGGGGCTGGACCTCCCCTCGTCTGACAAAAACAGGCAGACGACAGGGAAACCACCCTGAATGGCCTACTTTCAACCCAAACAGAGAAGGTTGAGTTGAAAGTAGGTCCTGTACGTTAAAGTACACTTACTCTGCAAGTCAAGCTTCTGTTTAGGTAAAACACAACCAAGGACAATCCAGAATGCTAACCATTTATCTAGAAACAATTTGGTTTTCTCAGAATAAACCACATGGCATGTTGCAGGTGCCATGTGGAGCTCAAACTGGTACGTTTGAGCGCTTTATACATTGTTGGAACTAATCTGAAGGGAATGCGTAGGTCAGAACATAAGAGTTTTATAAAAAATAAAAAAAAACTGACTGAAAATTAACACTGGATTGTTCATAATGAACTCAGAACATTTTCGTCTGGCCAGGTCCTCTTCATGACTTTGATATTGGCAAGTTTTCCTGCAATCTAAGCGTTACAATGTCATCACATGCAGCCTTCAGTGTTTTTGCTGGATAATGAATAAAAGTGAAAGAAAAATTTACAGGAATATAGACACTAAATTAGCTAACAAGCAGAAAAATCTAGCATAATTCTCTTAATTGACAAACTATATCTGAAGTGAGTTTTATTCATTCTACCGAAAGGTCTGGTCAATAGATTGATATTAAATAAAAATTGTGGCATATTAAAATCATAGAATATGTGTACTGAATCTAAAGTTTTAAAACTCCGCTGTATATGTATCATAAACTATATCAGATGTATCGGTCAAAGCCACGAAAAACCTGTTTTATGTTTTGCCTCTTTTTTTCTCCTGGACATGCAGAAAGCATCGCGATATTTAGTCATCAGACCACAGGCCTGAGGTTACAGAGGTGATATCTCGCGCTACCTGAACAGTCGGAGTCTCATTCCGCCACGGTCCAGCCTGCCGGGAGGGGGTTTCTGCTGAACAGCTCTACATTAGTCTTTTCATTTGGAAATAGAACTGAAAGTTTATATTTGTAACGATCAACTTTTTTTTATTTATTAAAAGTAAAACAACAGGTCTACGTTATTTTACATTTATTCGTCGTAATTTGCAGAGGAAAAAAATAGCTAATTTTGCCGTTTGAGATCAGCCGGTGGTGCTAACAAAGAAAATTGTTTCTCTTCAGTAATAATCCCCCACTATTCTCTTTAGTTATGAGTCATGTGGTCGTTGATGATCCACACGGTCTAGATCAGCAGGTGAGTAATTTCAACTTGTTCTTATTTCTTTCGGGAAGTTTGCGAATTTTTGTCCTGTTAACCTTAGTTTCGACTGAGAAAAGAGGGGAGCTAGTCAAGCTAAGCTAACGCAGCGGCTGCTAAAATGGAGGCTGTAGTCGCAGTGGAGAGGATTGTGATGGCGGAACATGATGTTCCGATGTGCTAGCGAACTGGCCGACAGAAGTCCTCCTTGAAATATGTGACGACGCTTTTTTAAAATGTAATTTCTTCAACTTTAATACATAAACGTATTCGAACGCAGTTTCGTTTGACCGACTACTGCTTTAAAAACCAGTGAAAGCCAGTGGAAAACTACTAGGTTAGCTGACATTTTAGACCCGGCCGGCATTCTTCTGCTAGGCAGAGCGGCGCAGCTAATGAGGCCTGCTCAGCCTGAAACGTGGCGCAGGAAAAAATGTTGGCGTCTGGGTTTAAACATCCACGAACGACCTATTTCTTCATGACGTGTATTTACACATTTTCCCAAAATAAATTTAGTTACACCCATTTGGTAAAATTATTTGTGTAACATTTTTTTTATTTAAATATCTATTTTCAACATTTTTATCCGATTATTTAACACCGCAAATCGCACTTTGACGCTTAATGGGCGCTTTGTAGCTCTCGTTCCCTTGACCTAAATTCGTGTCGCTTATTGAGTTCTTTTTAACGGCGAAGTTACAGCGACAAAACTAGTAATTATTTCCTAAAAACGAAGCGTGGGCTGACAGAAGTAGTAAACACGGCAAACGGAAGTAATTTTGGTAACTAAACTCATAAACGGGTGTCTTAAAATCTCTTGAAAGATTTGTTTCTTCATCTCGAGGGAGACCAAAAAAATGCGTCGTCAGCTCCAAAGTTCAAAAGCTCAGCTCGGCTACATTTCTGTTTTGATGCCGACTTATTTTAACTAGGTCAGTTTGAATTTGTTTAGTAAAGCCAAGTTGCACAACATGTAATGTTTGGATTATTTTATTGTGGGCTTTAGGGCTTAGCCGCTGTTCTTACCTTTCTTAAAATGAAAGCCAGTATGCCCGTCAGCTTCATCATACACACTGTTGACAACCTGGGATTTAAAATATTCCTCCATAATCTGCTCTGCCTTCCTTAGTGAGGCCATGTTAGTAAGAGGTTGCTATTTTGGTTTCCATCAAAGATGATAATCTTTCCAGTTAGTTTGCAGTCCTTCTTTTTCGCCTCGTTACAGTAAAAGGAAATGTGACTTGCTAAACATTTAGAATACAAAAATGAGTTTGATTTGAGGGTTTTCATAACCACACTTGGATGTTCTGACCACCAACACTCTGATAATCTGCCGCTATTTCAACTTTTCTGTTTTTGTTACTGTTAGAGTATTTTAATTATTACACAAGAGTTTTCTTAGCAGTCAGTATTTCCATGAATTTTATGGTTAGTCACAAAAATGTTTATATTGTGCATGCGATTTCATTTACTTGAAAACTTTGAACTCTACTCTGTTAATATGAAACATGACATTAAAATGAACCGAACTCATAATTCAGGTCAACGGGTTTTAAATTTGTATGTTTTATAGTGACGAAGCATATTAATGACAGGGATTAAATGTTGTATTATCAAAGGCTTCCGGTACTTATAAGAAACAATCACATTCTTAATTAGTTTTATTTTGCACTTGTAGCTTGCTGCCCTAGACTTGAACCCTGACGGTCAAGGCGGAGGAACTGGCAGTAAGTAACAACTTTAACTGTTTTTTTTTATTTATTTTTATTTATTTTTAATGAATATCACTTTTTACGAAGTCCTTCTTTTTAGCTTTTAAATTGAAAAAAAAATGTTTGCAAAATGAGTACAGATGCATTTTCTGCTGTGGGATGTTCATAGTAGAAAATGATGCAAACAAAGCAGTTTCCAACGTAAGGACAAGGAAAAAAGTACCAATTGCCGATACTTTTAGTACCAGTCTTTTGTGGAAATTAAATGCAGAAAAATTAAACTCCTAAAATCTGCATTTGTTGCACCTATATTAAAAAAAAGGGAAAAAAAGTTTGTTCAGCCTGTTTTTAGCTCCAGAAAGCCGCAGGTTGCAGTGGCCTGGACCAGAGTAACACACCTGAATCGGATGAACGGCTCAACACTGAGGAAATGCATTAATTTGATTCAGGTGTGCTGAAGCAGGAAGTACAAAGGGTCCAGTTTGGTAGCTCAGGAGGACTGAATGTAGGGTTAATCAAAATTTTTAAATCTTTTTCACACTTCTGTCGATCCCCAGATCGACAGAAGTGTGGAACATAACCTGAAATTCTTCACAGAAAATGCATATAGTCAGATTTTTTTCAGAGCATATCTGAAATATTCTAATGAAAATGCAGCTTGGGAAGCTGATTTTCCTCACTGCAGTGCTAGTTGATGCACTATTGGCTAGTGTTTCTCAAAGCATCCAATCCAGGAGCACTTTTTATTCCTTTTGGTGCTGATTGGCTGATGAGGAAGGCTGTAGGTGTTAGCTTCTGCAGTAGCTCCAAGATGGCGTGCACTGTGCGCATTACTGCATTTCAAGGCATAGTTGGTGTTTGAACTATTAAAATAAGCAGAAACTAATTGAGGTTTCAGAATGTATCGAATGGGATTCTTTTTAAAACAAAAGTAGTGATTTTGTTTTTTAAAGTGTCCCAGTGCTCACCAGTGTGTTCTCTCTACCCAGGACGCTACATTCCACCTCACTTGAGGAACAAAGATGCTGCAAAAAACGGTGAGTTTGTCTAATATTGTGCCCAGCCTCCGAGAAAAATCGTAACAAGTTTGATGTGCAAGTTCTGTTAATGAGAGAAGCCCATCAGAGCATGGTAAAAGCAAGCACAATTGAGAACAGATCAGAGGCGTTCAGCAGTATGTTTTAGTAACATATTGATCTTTACCTGTCGAGCCAAAGACACTAGTTGTCTTTTGTCAGGTTTAAAATGTACTGGGGAACCTTTCCATTGCACAGAACGAACAGAGGACGCCGTGCATAGTGCGTTTTCTTTCTGTGCTGGACGGGTTTTCGGTGCTCACAAAGTAGGTCAAGTGGTATCGTATATCAGCCTGAGCCTTCAGGTTTCACCCCAGACTGCTCCTACGTGTGAGGATGGGGCCAATTCACTTTAATTTTGCTCAGCTATTCAACAGAAACATTTTGTCCCTCGAACTTCAAGCTCTGGCTCATTCAGTCTCATGTGAAAGACGGTGCTAGCTGTTGGCAGCTCTGATAAAGCCTGAAATTGGGACTGTCATATTTTAAGATTAAAGCAAGCTAAAAGTCATGGTACTGTGTGGTTGCACACTTGACCCTTTTTCCCTTTTTTTTTTTTTTTTTTTTTTTTTTAAACCGTTTTTTTTTTTTCCACAGAAGAAATTTTTTTTTCGGTTGTAAAACAGGCGGTTATTTAA